TTTTATATCTATACGGAAATATTTTTATATACGCATGAATTAATCATAAATATACACTTTTAAATTACATACACACATACTTTATGATCTACATAATAATAATTTAAATATATGAAGAAATTTAAAAGCTTCAAAATTTAAAAAAAAATACATTTTTTTTGTGCATCAATAACAACAAGAGCAAAAACAACGAAAAATTATTAAACTTTTTTGATATAAAAGCGTTATGTTTATCAAGCAAAGCAAGAACAAAAAGAAAGACCCCAAGGATTTAGAGTATAAAAATAAGTATAAGAATGAGTATAAAAAAGCAAAAAAGAAAAATTTCTTCACTTATTAGAAATTAAATCTCATGTTTGCGCATTCATTTACATAATTTATCACCTCCTTATATTACAATTAAAAAAAGAAGATCCTTTTTCTTTTCCATCGACGAAAAATTTTTTAAACCCTTTTTACTTGCTTTTGTTTTTCTTATACACATTTTAGCAGATGTTGTCATTTTTATATTCTTGATAAAACTATGACGTTATATGTAACAATATGAGATATGAAAAGAAAGATTTAGTTATAAAAAATGTAATGTATGGGAAAAGTAAGGTAGAAAATCAGTGATGAAGGGCAAACAATTAAATAATTTTCAAAATTTTTTGTGAGATAATAAGTTTTTTAGCTAAAAGTTTTATGGGTCTATTTTAGTTTGGTGAAAATAAGGGAAAAGTTTTCACCACTTGCTCATTTTATTTTAATAACAAAATTTTTCGTCGGATTGCATAAATTTAGGGGCATATAATTTGTTAACTTAATTATTTTATATTACGATAAAATCTTTTTTTTTTCAAATTTATGCTTGGTTTAAAATTAATTAAAAAATAATCGACTTCCAAGGCTGATGGCTTCAACTCGTCTGATTTAATTTAAAACTTACATTTGTGATTTAATAATCTAATAAAGTAACATTTTGTAGGAGAATTTGATAATTAATCAGAAAATATGCGATAAAGTTTATCATGCGATATTTGATTGAAATTTTTTCAAAACTTAAAAGTTTTAGCCAAGTTTCTGGGATAAATATTCAGGGTCTCCTTTTGACATATTGGAATTTTTGTACATTTTCTTAGTCTTTTAAAAATATTTTAATTCATCATATTCAATGCCTCATAGTTATAGGAAAATCAATAAAGCTAGTATCTCTTAAAGTGCTGTAACTTAAAAAAAAAAGTAATATCAAATACATTGGTAAGTCGAGTGGGGACTCCAAAATACTAAGTAAAAGTATTATGTAGTCAAATGGTTGTAAAAGGTTGTAAATTTTAATTTTTAACCATAATTTATCTAAAAATAAAAGAGTTGAATAATATAAATAAAATATTTTGAAAATTAACTGTGATTAAAATTTATGAGATTTTCTTTATCCAACTTCTATCTCTGTTTAAGAAGTCGGGAAATGGGATTTTTAAGAGCATATTTTTTGTTTTTGTTATTTAAATAAAATTATATTTAGATGTAGGTGCTTATACATAAAAAATATTTAAATAAAAAATCCTGTTTATTATCATCGGATCCTAATAAAAATTTTTAACTTATGACTGAATATTTAAGGCAAAAATTATAAAGTGTTGAAAATTTATGCACATATAGATACACAAATATATTTTCATTATTGTTTTCATTAATTATTGTTTATGCTAATGAAACTTTTATAAAAAAAAAATTGAAAAAATCTTTTTGTTTAGGTTTTTAGTTTAAATGAGTTTTGAAGAATATAAAGTAACTAAATTTATTAAAATGCTTAAAATATTAATACGTAATGGTAGATGAAGCTATAGAACCAAAAAATACAGTTGAACCTATATAATGAGGCATGAATGAGAAGGAAAATTTTTATAATTTAATGATCATGTTTTATAATCTTTTGAAATTTTTGTAAACTATGATCTTCAAATTAAATTTTGAAAGAGCTCTTCATTAAAGTAAATTTTTAAAATCGAACTCGAATTAGGAACTATTAATAGCGTTAAATAGAAAATAGAAATTTATTTCTCAAAATTACAATAGAAACATTTATTTTTCCGATATTTTAATTACATCAAAAACATATTTCTATAAAGTATGAATCGAGGTGTTCATCACAATAAAATTTTGCAAACCTTAGTCTTAAATATTAAAGTGATCTGTAGTTCATTCACAATGTGGTGTTTTTGAGATTTTAGAATTGCAAAGCAGTATGTTTTTTGCCGGCGTTTATAAAAAATTCTTACATTGCGATAATGTTTCACAGTGTACAGAAAGTATTTATGATTCAATGTATCCATTTTTATTGAATATAAAATTCTGAAACCAACTAAGTGTCCAACAAGTGTAAGTGACAAGTAAGTGTTTTATTTTTTCAGATTAACCTAATGCTTCTTTTATCTTTAACAATTTTAAATTAGGTAATTTTTAATGCAAAAAGTCCGACGACATAAAAACAAAATTTTTTGATTTTCTCATCCTTTCTTTTTAACTTTATTTTACATTAATGTTCATAAAATTTTTCTTTTATTTAATTTTTAAAAGTAAAACAAAATAACATTAATTTATAAAAAGAGGGTTAAATTTTAAATATGCGTGTAAATGAGTTACACAATATGTGAAAATTTTTCTTTTTTTTTGGTTAAAGTAAAAGTAAATATTCCACTTTTTCTCTTTTAATTTTATTCTATTTTTTGTTCTTTTGATACCCTTAATTATTTGAAAGCATTTATGCTTGCAATTATAATTTTAAATAAATTATGCGTATATACACAAAATTTCGAATATCCTTTTTTGTTTTTATAAAAGACTTTATGTTGCTATTTTACATAAATTTTTCTCTTATTTATATTCAAAATAAATAAAATTCAAAGAAAAAAGGAGGAAGGAATATATTAAATATTTTTAATACTAAGGACATTTATAGGTTATATATTAGGATTTTCTTTAAAAATTTAATAATAACATAGAAACCATAATAGTTAATTGTTAAAACTGAATCTGATCAATATTTTGAATATACAACCGATAAAATTTAAGTAGTGCTGAAGATTGAATAAATAGGCTTTAAAAGACTACTGTTTTCGGGATAATACCTAATTAAACTATTCAAACATTTGGTTCAAAAGAATTTTTGTTATCAAAGATATTATGGTTAATTGTTGAAATTATAATTAAAGTTACTTAGTCTAATACTACTGACAGACATGTAATATCGATATTATAATATCCTCAATATCATAATATATTGATATATTTGTCACCAGAGTGATATTTGCGAATTACAACATTAGACTATAAGCCTCAGTATATTCATATCGAATTTATATTGCGTTTTATATTATAATGTAGCTGACATACATGTAATATTAATCTTAAAAATAGAGAATATCATAGTAACGACCTTATACGTCTGTAAATAGCATAATACTCCATATTTTGTCAGTAAAATTCAAAAATTAATTTCAAAATTTAAAAATCCTAAAACAAACACCTTATAATGATGGCGGCAAATATAAAATTTAAATTATAAACGCGATCTGTTATTTGTAACACTTATCAGAGAAAAAAGAAATAATCTCATCTTTTATCTGCCTAACACAAAAAAAAATGAATTTTAATTACTTTAATTAATGGAATTTAATTAAAATAAACGATTTGGTTTTTTTTTTTTGTTGAAAAAAGGAAATTATTTTCATTTAAAGGAAATAATTTCAAGAAAGTATTTAAAAAGAAAAATAAACAACATTATGCAAAAAATATAAGTTTTTTGTTGTTGTTTTTTTTTCTTGTGATTTTTTATTATTTTTTTGAGTTTTTGCTTTCCGAAAGTATCTTTTGATTAAATTTACTTAAAAGAATTTCTTTGACAAATGAGAGAAAAAATTTTAAAATTCGCCTGGATGGTAAATTTTTTTTTTGTTTTCATAATACATGAAAACATTTAAAATACATAAATACAATATAGGAATTTTTGTTATGAAAACTTTTATTTTCATTAAAAAATTTCTTAAAAATTATTTATAGACATTCCAAGTTTTTGATAAAAATAAATAAAAAAAGCGTAAATAATTATGTACGTCCAAAGTTTCACCGCGACTTAACAACAATTAATAATTTTAAAAAATAATGATTGAAAATATTTAATTTAGCAAATTCAAGCCAAGAACAAAAAAATTCTTGGCACTAGACATTTTCTTAGTATTAAAATATAATAGAGAGTAGCAATTATTTATTTTACAAATTTATTGAAACAAGAAAAAGGAATTTGTGTCCCGGATGTATGAAATATTTTTATGTTTTCTCTATAGCAAATGTTAGGGTTACTCAAAAAAAAAAATTTGGATCAAACCAATAATTTGAAATGTAGCACTTTTCCCGTCAACATATAAAAATGCTGCTTTTAAAAACAATCTATGCATACCTATCTACCACATTATTAAAATTATTTTCATTCATATATGAAATTACTTCAAGGATTGCATACAATTAGGATGAAGCAAAAAAAAAAATTGAAAGAAGCGTTAACGTTATGCTCGAATTTAATAATTAGAGAAAATAATTAAATTTTTTAATGGCATGTCATTTATCACTGTATGTATTTATAGAAATTTGGAAAAGCTTGCAGTTTGGGAAATATAGGGTGCCACAAGTTAAAATTTGAGAGACGATTACTTGAGAGGGAATAGAGGTGGAAAAAAAAATTGCTTCTAACGAAATGAACTATTTATTATTAAGTAAAAGCTGCTACACTTTCAGATTCCTACAATCTACGGTCTAGGAGAAGAAGGATAGCAAAAATTTGAAAAAAACCGATTTTACATAACAGTAAATTTAAAAAATAAAATATTTAGAGAATGTATAAAACAGGTCAACATATTAAGGAAATAAAATATATTTGTCTTTATAAAGACACAAAATCAATTTTTCAATTCCACATTTATTTTACGTTAAATTTAAGTAGATAGTTTTTTAATAAAACGTACCTTAATTTTTATCAGAAAGGTTTCGCTTCTTTTGTGAATCTGTAAGAAAAGAAGAACAAATAAATTATTAATAAAACGTTTTGAAATAAGAAAATATATTTATTTGCTGAAGTTAGGGAAGAGTGGGCTAACATCCATTTTGATTCCCTTTTTTTTTACAATACACTTTTTAAATGTTCTACACCTTTGACAAAAAAATACAATTTTTTTATTTTTTCAAAGTACAAAGAAAAAATTACGAATGATATGTCAACTAGTGAAATTTTGTTTTAAAGACATCGTCCTATTAAGTAGTTAACTAACATTCAAAACGTATAGATAAAATCGAAGTTTTTCATCTTATACATTGTCAGAAAAGCTCTTATGACAAGTAAATTAAAAATCTGTAATTACTCCTCTATTTTAAATGTACGAAATATTATTGAACCTATACAATTATTTTTTAATTCATTATTATTTATCATTCGAACCTGCACAACACAGAAAAGTTCTATTGCTATTTTTCAAAGAAAAAATTATATTGCTATAGAAAATATTCTATTGCTTCTATTTAAAATAATTTTTGAAATACTTATTACAGTTTTATAAAAACATTAAAACATAAAAGAGTGAACCGCAAACATCATGAATATTTTATTACTCTTATATACTAATATAATAATGTTATGTAGGTGTCAATAAATATTCACTTTAGTATAAAAATCATAGTTCTGATTTTCGTTATATTTCCTTAAAAGCAAAAACTAAAAATGGCATGGTCATTATTCAAAAAAAAAAAAAACAAAATAAACAGAATAAATATTTTAAAAATAATTACATAAAAATTGCTGCATTTTTCAAAAATAAAATCAACAAAAAAGAACTGATCACCATAATTAAAAGTTGACACATTCCTGTTGTATAGTTACCGTCACATTCATATGAATTTATGCAAACAAATAATAAACTTTTTAGAACATATGCATAAGTATTAATGTACATGTCCCACAAAAAATAAATAATAAAAATATTATTCAATTTATGAAAAAGTTCATCACTCTTTATTCTAATAAAAAAAAAATCTGATGTGGTCAGCACATAACCGACCGCAATGTGTATTGTCTAGTTAAGTGAAAGTGTTACAGAAATATTATTATATATTAATAATATTATTATTATTGTTATTATAAAAATGTCTGTTAAATACTTCTTTCCAATTTTTAGGGCATTAGTAAGCTTATAGTTAGCATACCTAGAAAAATGTAAATTTGGCTCTTAGTAGAGTTTCGCTTTGTGCTACCCGAATTCCCTGAAATGCTCGCCATTTAGTTTCGGTAACAATCAGAACTCAAATATCAAATTTCAAGAAACTCCATCAATTCGTTCCGTAGATATGGTGAAAAATGTAAAATCGGCCCGCAGATCAGTTTTCGAGCCCTGATCTTTCCAAAAAATTTACATGTTCATTGTTTTAATACAAGGAATTCAAATATTAAATTTCAATGAAATCGGTTGATTATTTCTCTTTATATACACAAAAATGTATATTTGGCCCGTAGTAAACGTCCAGTTGCTGACGCCTGATTTCTTCCAAAAGTTAGGAGGTTTCATCGCCGGTAGAGCAAAACTTATATATGAAATTTCAAGTAAATCGGTTGAATATGTTCTTCAATATGCTCAAAAATGTAAAACAGGCCCGCTAAAAAGTGCAGTTCCCGAGGCCTGATATATACCAAAAGTTGATCGATCCGTGCCATGGTGGAAATAAACTTACATATAAAATTTCATCAAAATCGGTTCAGCCGAACTTGAGATACACGCGTGCACACACAGACCGACAGACCGACAGACCGACAGACCGACAGACCGACAGACCGACAGACCGACAGGTTGCTAAAAATAGTTTATTTACACTTCCCTACTATGGAGAAGTACGTTCCCACCGAAAACTCGATATGCAAAATTTGTTGCCATCACATAACCTACCTATTGTTTACACAATACGGTCGGTAAAAAAGTTGTTTGTTTGTTACCATAATTATCCTTAGGCTGTTTCGTTTTCCTTCTCAGTTTTTTTCCCATAAAAAATAATAATATAAACACTTTCCCGAAGCTGAACAGCACGAATTGCACACAAAACTTTTCATTTTATCAATTTTATTTTTAATGACTCTCAATAGACCATATATATAGGATTCATTCACAAATACGAGTGTACATATACGTCATATCTTGATACGTAAATTAAAGTACGTGTGAAAATTTAAGCCACTAAAAAAAAATATACAAATACTTGTGTACGTAGAGAATTTAATAGAGAAAAACAAAAACAAATCTAATAACCTGAAGTTCAATTTATAACGCATGTTATTAGGTACAATATGTTCAAGGTACAATTTAAATTCAAATATAGCATTCATTTTGCACTTTATATAAAATGCAAAAAAAAGGTTTTATGTTTTTCTAATAATGGTGCGCCAACATCGTACTGGTTTCATCATATTATACGTACATACATGTTTAGCTTTTGGCTTCAAATTAAAAACAAATCGTTATTAAAAAAAAAAAAATCAGAAATTACATTTTGGATCCCGCACGTACTTTTAGTCACTTAGTCAATTTCCATATTTTGCTTTGATTTCTTCTTTTCTTTTTGTTTTTTTTTTTTTTATAGATGATATCAGTGTAATAAAAAATGTCAACAAAACTTTTTTAGGAAATTTCATAATTTTTTTTATTTTTAATTTATGATGCCGCCGCAATATACGAGTAGTTTATGCAAAAATTACGAACTGATGGTATTTCTTTTTTTTAATCAAAATCATATTGAAATTCAAGGTAATTGTAGCGAATTTCTCTTTAACTTTTTAAATACACATTTCAAATAATTGATCGCTTTATCAAAAAAAAAATTGAAAAAATTAAATTAATTTTATGAACTATGAATTTGGAGGTTACAGGCTTACAGCAAAACTTAACATGACAATATATTATTATGGTGTACAACTCCTTTGTAAATTCGGAATATTGCAAATTTATAAAATTAAGTAGTAAACTTTCCAAAATGATAAAAGTAGAGCAACAAGTGCAGTATTGTAAACAAGTCGTCTAACTCTATTTACATTGCATATATACAAGTATGATTCATGTAATTTGAACTTCATGATTTAGGTATATAAATAATATTATATACTTAAATTGTATGAGAATTTTGGCTAGTGTAAATTAAATATACATGGTAAACAAGTAAGGCGAAGAAACACAAATATGTTTAATTTAAGAAAATGAGCTTAATTCAATTGAATTAAATTTTATTTCATATAACCTTAATTATACTTTCTGATAAAAAGGTATCGTTCGGAATTTCTTGTTTTATCAAGCATTCAAATTTTTTAGAAAACGAAAAATTTTCATAAAAACCAAAAATATTTAGAATTTTGTGAAATTTTAGTATAATATTTATTTAATATTTGTTCATTAGAATCAATATGAAAATTTCCAAAATTGAATTACCCAAAAAACACAAAGGATTAAAATTAAATTACATTACCTAAGAAACAAAGACCAAAAAGTTTAAATTAAAAATTAATTTTCGTTCCAAAAGTTCGTGACTTGTTATTGGTATAGTAAACCATTCCCTTTAAAATAAATTTTTCTTTTGATTCATTGGCACAAGATTAAAAGTGTAAAAAGAATTTGAAAAAAAAAAACATAATAAAAATAACAGAAAAATCTAAAATTTGAGAAAGCTTATCCTACATATAGGCAAGATTTTTATCTTAAATTTTTTACAAAAAAATAAAAATTAGATCACGAGCATTATTTGTATATTATATAGGTAGCTTCATAGATGAATAATCACTTAAAAAATGACTGATTGATTATTGTGATTGAATTTCAAAAGGATGAACCTTTAGATTCAGAATCTTAACAAAAAAATGGTTGTGGTAAAAAATCAAAATTAAATATTAAATTTTTAAAGCTATAAAAAAGGTGTTTTTTGGTATTTTTCCTAATGCACAACTAGCATAAATTCATAGACGAATGACTAACGTAAATTGATCTCTAAATGATAAGGTTAAAACTATCACCCATATAAATGTTTTTCCATGAGAAAGAGTGCATAAACTTCTTAGAAATTTTATATTTATTTTTTCAAAAACAATTTATTTTGCACGGACAAACTTTACTTAAAAAGTAATACTTAACTTATATGTACATCGTAAATACGAAAAAGAATAGGTTTACTGTCAGAGAAGATCATTCTTCTGCAGCTATTTCGACGGAATCGTTTTCTTCGAAATCGAAAAAACTTTTATTAAGGCTATTTTAAGTTTACAAACTAGCTAAATTAAATTGTAACTTCTTTTTTTTCGCAATATTTTCAATTCGTTTTAATCTCAAATTTAAATTCAGATGGCAAATCCGAAAAAAATAAACATTTAAAAAATCCATGAAATATTAAAATAATTTAATTGGAACACTCTCAGATTTACTTTAATTCAAAATAATTAAAATATTATTTACATATTTTTCAAAATTCACAAGAAGTTATTATTTTTCTTTTCTTATTTTGGTTCGAAATTCAAAAAAAAAAAAATATAATTTAATAAGGTAAAACACGAGGAAATTTAATTTTCGGTACACAATGCATGAGCGTTTCTTCCTCTAAAAATAAATAATATATGCAATTTTTTCTTTGATTTTTACTCTGCTTGGCACGCTTAAAAGATACGCACACAATTTTGTATTTTTCAAGGATTATTACATCAAATATTTTTTTTTATTTACTTTATTTTTAGTTGGAAAATTAGAATTATAAATAAAGGAAAGCATACATAAGTCCTTTTAAAGAGATGTACAAAAATAAAACAAAGTTATTTAGACCGAAATAAATTTTGTCGATTATACTTTATAAAATTTAAAAAAAACAACTTGACATAACGTGGTAGCCCATAATTATGAAAATAAAGTTGATATGTATATGTATACAATACCTAAAAGCATTCTATAACTTTTGAGTGCAGTTATGCATATAAATCATATAATGTGTATAATAT